GGGGGGAAGCACTGAGAGTGCGCTTAACATAAGAATCTATTATTGTGCAGATAGTTTGGGATGACCAAGCCAAAAAAAAAGCTATAGAAATTTATTTGGTATGCTATTGAGTCAATACCATGGCATCTCAAAGAGCCTTTACAAAAGCTGATTAATCATTTGATGACTACTTAGATTAAATTAGTTGCTAAGATGAAACACATTCTGCTCCAAGCACAAGTGTGGCATCTGCTTTCCCCAGCTCACCTGAAAACCCTTTAAAAGGAATTGTGAAGATGGCAGCAAGCCATTTTGTTTGCATAGCCAGGAAATGAACATCTGCAAAACTTCTTTGTAGAAAACTACATTTGATAGGGAAACTGGAGAGTAAACTTAAGTGGCTTCTGAGATTTCTTTTCTTTACTCATACTGTCAGACAGGGGGTGCATTAGGCACAGAATGACCAAAGAGTTGTTTTTCTGATGTGCAGATCATCACATGTGAATTTGAAAGATGTAAATAGTGATGAAACTGCTTGGAGCTTGCCAGGGCCATTTGACTGTACCAGCTATCTTCGTCTACAGCTGGGTGGGGGTGGAAATCACCAATATGGATTTTAGCATGTAAGCAAAGAAACAACTTATAGAGTGGCTGGCAAAAGTCTTTCCTTTGCATGGATCTCTATCCCTGATGGTGCCTTTCAGAGCTCTTCCCCCCCCTAGTTTGGCAGATCTAAATGAAGTTAGCACACTCATCCGTTTCTTAGATAGCATTGTGACCACAATTCAGTTTCTGCCTAAGCAGCAGCAACTAACCCTTTGTAATTTGACTTCTTGTTCCAGGGGTGCACGTGGGGTGTTGCCTATGAACTTCATGGAGATCAAATTGCTGCCTCACTCAAGTATCTAAACATGCGGGAAGCGGTGCTGGGTGGCTACGATACCAAGCTAGTGAAGTTCCATCCCCAGGATAAAGAAGGTGGTGAGCCTCTCCTGGCCCTGGTTTACATTGCTACCCCTCAGAATCCCTCCTACCTTGGCCCAGCATCAGAAGAGGACATTGCTGCTCAAATAATTGTTTCCAGTGGCCGTTCTGGCCACAATATAGAGTATCTCCTGCGACTGGCGGACTTCATGCGCTACTGCTGCCCTCAGGTAGAGGATGAGCACTTGTTTTCAATTGAGGAGGCGCTCATCTCTATCTTGCCCTGCCTGTACCATGGTGAAGAATCCTTAGTAGAAGAATGAACATGACTCTGCCTGCCAGAGGGACTAAGAGAGGAATTTCCTCAAGGACAAAAGGTGCACCTTTTTAATGCAAGTAGGCAGATCAATAGAATTGGTGGATGAAGTAGTGAGTAGGACAACTTTCCCCACAGATGCTTCTTAAGTAGTACATGACTAGTGAATTATGCTGGGAATGCATAGCTGACTGAAAAAGACAATGGCTTTAGGAAGCCTAAATTAGGCAGTGTTCTTATCTTCAAGAGGAAGGTGACTGAAGACTCAGTGTGCTTTTTCCCCCCAGTATTTCTGAAGCTCCTTTCAAGCAAAGACTTGGCTGCAATATTGAAGCACTACAAACTTTACTGTACCTCATAAACTGGCAGAGCCACTGGGGTGGGGGAGACTGGGGTGTATGCATGTTCCAGGTCCAAGGGACTGGCCTTGTTCTTCCCTCTCCATCCTCCTTGACGGTGACAACCTTCACGCCTATGCCGGGGTTCCAGTGCAATATGAATTCCTTGCCTTCTGTAGGCTCTGATGGGGCCAAATGTCCTCAGACATGTCTTAAGTTAACAGTTAATGCACTAAGCTTTTTATAACTTGAAGATGTATTTATTGTAATGAATATATATCTATTTCCTTATGGGAAAGCATCCAAATGGTGGTTTGTGTCTTGGCATATGCCCTGTGGTGCAGGGAGTGTTGCAAAGGTTTGGATAGGAAGCTCTGTGCCTTCTGGTCTGAGGTCAGATTTTCTGGCTTGGGAGAGGCACTTGCCTCAGGCGGCCTCCGTAGGCCTGTGGATGTGATGCTGCTCTGCACAGATTTTTCCGTGAGCAACATAGCTGTCCCCTGCTGCTACCTCCTCTACACACCATGTCTGTCTCCTGTTTACGAGATTGCAAGGTGTCAACACTGTCTAAAAGATGAGGGTTTCTCATAGCTCAGTTCTGTCTACATGTTTATTATTAAACCAGTGCCCAAACTTTGTTGCAGCATCTCTCTCTAAGTGCTGGAGGCCCTGCATAGGAATTGCCTGAAGGCAGAAACAAGCAGCGTCAGCTGGCAGTCCCCTGTTTCTGACAGGGCTTGAGAGAGATGTTGCTGTTGTAATTGCCATTCGTTAACAGTAGCGAACCTTGACATACAGTTTTCTAAGGAAGAGTGCCTGATGTCTGGCATGATATTGTCAATGGTGTATCCAAGGGGAAACCGTCTCTTGCCCCTAGAAATAGAACAAGTTGCCCTTATAAAGCTTGCCAAGTAGATAGGGAAGACTTCTTGATTTACAATGAAGAGCAACTCCAGCTTCTGCAGACAGGCTTTTATGTAAAAGGGGAAGAAAACCATTCCAAGGATGTCACAGATGTTGCAATGTCATTGCTAATGTGGGCTTTCTCAGCCTTTGTTGAAAAGGACAGGGCACTTTTCCCCCCTACTATGGTAGCAGTGGTTTATTTGCTTTGTGAATGAACACCTTTCTACAATCCCTCTGGTTTGTAAGTAAGTGGGTATACTGATTCAGCTAGCACACTGTGAAAAGGGCGTGTGGTTGTTCCAGTGCCACCTTTCAATTTTGCCATGGTCAGGCAGGCCATATGTTAGGCCCTGCCTCTGGAAACAGAAGTACCTCAGTTGGTGATGCTACATTTCCTTCACCATCCATCACTGACAGCAGAGTGACTCTCCTCTCCAGAAGCCATGCATGAGTTAGTGCATACATCCCCTTCTCCCACCACATGGAAATTTTATTGTGCTATACTCTAGGTTAATAGAGATACTACTGTTTATTGTGCTATACTCTAGGATAATAGAGATATTACCGTAACTTGGCTAATGTGCAGTTTTTGTTCCTAATCTGCACAAAATATATTCTGTATATGGAAAAAACAGCTATACTGCAGCTAATGTTGGGCATACATTTATTCCACCACATTAATAAGTGTCCAGTCCCAATAATTAGATTGGGTTGACGCTGAGTCTCTAAAATACACACTGCCAGCAACTGAGTGTGTCTAGAAATTTACATTGCCTGATCTAGAAATCATATTACATGAGATGCACAGGAACTGGTTGCAGCTGGCCATTGTCCAGTGGAACTTCAATTATATACCCCCTCATGACTAGTTCATGCAATTCGGACTATGGTTTGCACAAGAGGCATGATCACCCAGTGGCTGGCAACTGTATTATCACTGATACTGAAAACCCAGGGCCTTCATGCTCATGCATGGTAACATTTTTTAAAGAAAAGTATTTAAAGCACATCTTGATAAACTATTAAACGATGGAGGCACAGGCTCACTCAGTCCCCCAACCGAAACAAAAATGCTGAAAGACTACCCTGTACCACACGCAGCAGTGAAGACCCTTTCCGTAAATGTACAAACCCACCTTTCCCTGTAGAGCAATGCTCTTTCTGCTACTTAAATACACACTTTTATATCATTATAGGGGGATGGACTATCAGAAAACTCAATAATTGCCTTAAAACTAGATAGTTGCATTGGTCCATTACAAAATCCAAAAACAAAAGCTATGCAATGCCTTTTATTAAGACCAATGGAAACAACACAATACAGTGTGCAAGCTTTTGTGCTCTTGGGTTGTGTAGAGGGGGATGGTTCATGGGCAAAGCATCTATTTTGCATGCAGAAGGTCCCCATTTCAATCACCCAGCTTGGGGGGGGGGGAAGGATCAGGTAGTAGGTGATGTGACAGACTGACCTCACCAGACGAATGGTCAGAGTCACAGCTTTGTGTGGTCATGCATGTTCAGCTCTCTGATCTTAAAGCCTCTGTGCTGGCACCCTGTTTAGGGATGCTTCAGTGGCTGTAGTGCCGTACTCAGCACAAAAGATACTGTCCCCTAGACAGCTAAAAGAATATTGTTTATATTAGTCCAACTGTGCCAGTCTTGTGAACTTTCATCCAAATGAAGTCTTGGAGGATTTTCTTACATGATCCTCGTGGCTGGAGTGCTATGAACAAATGGCATCGAGGAAGAACCTTGTTGAACTCTTCTTTCCGCGTGATTCTGTGGGCAGTGGGCTGCACTGCAGGCAGTTCTTCTGAGGAGAGAAGTCAAGTACAGAAACATGATTCTCTGCTTGAACAAGTGCCAAGAAAAGCTTAGAGAAAGACTGCTGTTCTACTTCCAAGAAACTGTTATGAAAGACACAAGACACTGTTTTACAGTGCATCTCCTGCCGGTGCTAGGGAGAAGTAGCCCTTATGAGCTGCAGAAGGACAAAGACAGCAACTGAAGTCATTGTAGGACAACCAACTTGCACGTTTCTCATTTATTTTACAATTTATACCCCTCCTTACAGGTAAAAACTGGTCTGCAGGCAGCTTACAGGGAGACAAAGCACATACACTGTCCATGTACTGGTATTCCCATAAGTGTAATTCAAAGCAGCAGCACTGCCAAGATCATTCTAGGGATGCAAAAGACTCCCAAAACAAGGGGGAGGGGAGTTTAAGTTAGGAATTGCTCACAGTGCTGTATTCTCTCTCTCTCTCTCTCTCTCTCTCTCTCTCTCTCTCGGTACTAATTGCCGCCTATCAGTGGTCTCTTGAATAACCTGTTGTAGCTCAGGCTGGCTATACTATATATAATCTATGCACATTTTTATCCCACTTTTCCTCCAAGGAGCTCAGAGCATGATGCTCCTGTCCCCATGTTATCCTAAAAACCGTGCGAGTGAGAGAGAAAGAGTGCCCCAAGGTCACCCAGTGAGCTTCATGGGCAGCAGCTAATACTGGTTAGCTTGTTGCACCGGGGCAAACCGCTGTTCCTGTTGACTGGTTTTCTCTTCTCAGCCTGCACAGCCTCTCTAACGTGACCCGTTCTTTTCACTACAGATGGTGTCACTGGAGAACCCACCTATCCCATCTTGAGACTATAAATGTACAAATGGCTTCTTTGTGGTAGAATTGCATCCCTGGTACATTTTCCCACCCCCTTTGCTTGCACTTAAGAAAAATCTCCAGAGCTTGATTAATGAATATAAAATTAAGTTTGTTTGCTTCTAAACTCCTCCTTTGTGGCAGAGAAAAATATGCCACAGGGAGGTTAAACCCAGGCCTGGATTACACATGTATTGGGGGCAATGTGGATTTTATCATTGCAGATAAAAAAAGAAATACATAGTTCAAGCTTCCCTCATTTAAAGAAAAATCACTAACACACAAACACTAGAACAAATTTAGAGTCCAGGGGCACTCTAAATTTGATCTACTGCTTCAGATGAACATGACTGACCACCTGGAACACAAACACTAGGACTGGGAAATCTGGATTGGGAAAATCCTAGAGTTTTGGGAGTGACTATGACCGGGCTCGGGGAGGGACAGTGGGGGTATAATGCCATAGAAATCCCCTTCCAAAGGAGTCATTTTCTCCACGGGAACTGATCTTTGTAATCTGGAGATCAGTTGTAGTTCTGGGAACTCTCCAATCCCCACCTGGAGACTGTCAGCCCTTACACACACAGGTGGGGAATAAAGGTTCAAGTTCAACTTCTTTCTTTCAAGTGTTCTTCTTTCTTCCTGCACCATTCTGAAATGGAATACTGCTCTGCCACTTCAGAAACCTATCTCAGCTGCATCCCCGCCCCTCACTCGGAGTCTCAGAGTATAAACTCCTTTCCCTTCCCTCCGCACAACAGACACCCTGTGAGGTAGGTGGGGCTGAGAGAGCTCTTTCCAGAACTGCCCTTTCAAGGACAGCTCTGGAAGAACTATGGCTTGCCCAAGGTCATCTAGCAGTTGTGAGTGGAGGAGTGGGGAATCAAACCTGGGTCTCCCAGATTAGAGTCCACTCACTTAACCACTATACCAAACTGGCTCTATGATCAGGACCTTGCTAAAAGTAAGTGGCATTCAGCAAAGATGCTACTTTCCCCTGCAATTTTACCCTTGTTTCTTTGTTTTGTATCATAATCAATTTCTGGTTTCTTTGCAAATGTGCATACCATTCACGAACCAATCATGATAATTTCTTGGGGAAAGAGGTAAAGGTTCCCTTGCTCAAAAGCCAGTCAAGTCCGACTCTAGGGTTGCGGTGCTCATCCCCGTTTCAAAGCCGAAGAGCCAGCGCTGTCTAAAGACGTTTCCGTGGTCATGTGGCCAGCATGACTAAACACCAAGGCACACGGGAATGCTGTTACCTTCCCACCGAAGTGGTACCTATTTATCTACTTGCAATTTCTTGCTTTCAAACAGCTAGGTTGGCAGGAGCTGGAACTAGAGACGGGAGCTCACTCCGTCATGCGGCAACTCGGGTCTTGAACTGCTGAACTACTGACCTTCCACAGCCTGCAGTTCAGCATCTTAACCCCTTGAGCCACCGCAGCTCCTTTTCTTGGGGAAAGGGAGGAATTAATACTGTTTTTTACTTTCCAGGCAAAGCTGGCACACATTTAAATAGTTTTCATTTTTTGTAACTGTATAACATTGCTTTAGAAGTAGATAAAATAAAAATGAGCAGTGGTTTTGCCTGCAAAGTGAAAAATGGTATTTAATTTCCTATGCTACCTCAATAGGAACTGATAAAAGAAATATTGATTAATTTGTGTTTTTGCCAGCTATGGGAGAGA